ACTTGCATTAGGTGGAATGTAATAATTTTACTAAGGTCTTCTCCAAATAGCAATCTACCTAGGAAAGGAAAACTAGAAAATAAGTAAAAAAAAAATTAAAATGCAATTTTATATGTTAGGCTACAATACAAGGTCATCTATGCCATATGGATCTGACTTTATCAAAACAGTGAACAGTGAAGGGGGCAAACCTAGCATTACGGCTAAAAATACAGAAATCACAAGTCCTGAGAGGCTACAGTACCAACTGCATCAAAATGCATAAATTTTTGCATCAACATATTCTGGTTTTGGTCCCAGCTGATGTGGTCCCTCATATAAACAAGTCTATTAATGTATATATGTCTTTCCAACAGAAGTGATAAATCTGTTAAGTTTCAACCAAACCAATGTACTTGGCCTATTTCTCGTTAGTTATTACTGTTTGATATTTAATTTTATGACAGTACAGCAGCACAATATGCTGCTACACTGAACTCAAATATCACCTCTGCTATAGTATTTTATATCCCTTTATTATTTTTTGCAAATAACTCAAGGCAGCAAACATACCTAATGATCCTTCCTTCTGTTTTTCCCACAATCCTAGGTTGAGAGAAGGTGATTGGCCTAAGGTCATCCAGCTGACTTTCATGGCTAAGGCAGGATTTAATCTAAATCTCCTGGTTTCTAGCCTGATACCTTAACCACTAGACCAGGGGGAGGCAACCTTGGCTTTTATGACTCGTGGACTTCAACTCCCAGAATTCCTGAGCCAGCACAGCTGGCTCAGGAATTCTGGGAGTTGAAGTCCACGAGTCATAAAAGAGCCAAGGTTGCCTACCCCTGCACTAGGCCAAACTGGCTTTCTGTATACAAGTCTGCCCCATCCACAATTTGGGGAAAATTGTAGTAAACCAATTATTCCATGAACTTTAATTAGCTGGCCTAGAAACCAGGAGACAGTGAGTTCCAGCCCTGCCTTAGTCATGAAAGCCAACAGAGTCAGCCACTCAGCTCAACCCATCTTACAGGGTTTGCTGTTGTGGGGAAAATAGAAGGCAAGAGTATTACGTATGTTTGCCACCTCAAGTTGAACATATATTCTCTATATTATACATTCACACAGGCTGGATAATAAACTAGTATATAATAAACTAGATAATAAAATAGCAACTAGCATTCCATATTTTAAATATTTCAAGAACATAGTATACAAATATTATTACATGCATATTAGTCTTATTTTCTTGAAAGACTTAACTGAATGAAAAAGATCCAGCATGTACAAGTAATCCTTGATTTGTAACAGTTCATTTAATGACTGTTCAAAATAACAGTTCTTAAAAAAAAGGTAACTTATGACCATTTTTCTCATTTGTGACCACTGCGGCACCTCCAGTCATGTGATCCAAATTCAGACACTTGGCAACTGACTCATATTTACAACGGTTGCAGTGTCCCAGAGTCATGTGATCAACTTTTGAGACCTGATGAGCAAAGTCAATGGGGAAGCCAGATTTACTTTTGAGACCTGATGAGCAAAGTCAATGGGGAAGCCAGATTTACTTAACAACCATGTTACTAACAACTTCAGCGATTCGCTTAACAAACGTGACCACAAAGATAGTAAAAATGGGGCAAAACTCAGTTAAATGTCACACCTAGCAATAGAAATTTTAGGCTGTTGTGGTTGTAAGTGGAGGACTACCTGTAGTGGGCTTTACAAAACAGAAGCAATTAAAATAAACTCAGATACAACAAGATGGCCAAAGCAACTGTGTCCTTCTCAACTACCACACTCCCTCAAGCCACAGACAGAAGCAGGCTCGGGAGAATAAAAGACTCTGGAAAAGCAAACAAATAAGGATTCCCAGTTCGGAGACAGTCCCAGGAGGACGAGTCCTGGCATTATTTGGGCCCTATGGAAAAGGGTAGGCTTGGTCGACATCCTAAGTAAGCATGAATCTCCCCACTGCAAGCCCCTTTCTTCAGTTGCACCCAAATAGGCAACTCTCTGCAATCAGAAAGTTAGCAAGCCAAGGAAGTTCTAGCTCCACACTCTTTCTGGGTAGGAGACCACGATGCCCCTTCCCCTTTGGTTTCCACCCGGGACCTTTTTTCAATCAGCCAATCAGAATAGAGCTGGAAGGGACCTTGGAGGCCTTCTAGTCCAACCCCCTGCTCAGGCAGGAGACCCTATACCAGGGGTAGGCAACCTTGGCCCTTTTATGACTTGCGGACTTCAACTCCCAGAATTCCTCAGCCAGGCACGCTTGGCTGAGGCATTCTGGGAGTTGAAGTCCGCAAGTCATAAAAGGGCCACGTTTGAAGACCCCCTGGTCTAGTCCAACCCCCTGCTCAAGCAGGAGACCCTGAATCCAGACAAACGACTGTCCAGTCTCTCCTTAAAAGCCTCCAGCGTTGGAGCACCCACAACTTCTGAAGGCAAGTCGTTCCACGGATGGTTTTCACTTAGTTTCTCCCTAGTTCTAGGTTGCTTCTCTCCTTGTTCGTTTCCATCCGTTGCTTCTGAGTGCTTTGGAGAATAGGTTGACACCCCCCCCCTCTTTGGCAGCCCCTCAAATACTGTAATACTTTTTCAGCTCAACCTTTATAAAATCGCCCCTCTGAGCCTCACCTGGGCGCATCCACCCCGCGCACGTTCTCAACATGGTGGTGATGGTGGGAGGGGGGGGGGGTTCTTTGACTACAGTTCCCATCCTGCCCAACCCCCGTTGGGACTTGAAGGATGCGACTGAGTCCCACTCACGTGGTTGAGAAAGGCTCCCCTCACCTACAATCTTTCCCAGGTTACCTGTCGCCTCAACTGGCTCTCCCGCCGCTCGCTTCTCTTCCCCTCAAAAGCTTCGACGGTCTCTTCCGGCTCCCCTCAGCTCCCCTTCCAGTCACGCCGGAAGACCGTCCTCCTTCTTGCCTTCTTCCCTCTTTAATTGGCTGGCCGTTTCCCCGCCCCTAGACGTCGCCTTGGCCGGAAGCCACGCCACTCAAAATACGTAGGCCCAGGCGCTCATTCTTCCCCTGTAACGAGCCTACAAGGGCCAGCATGCACCACGCCCAGAGTCGCTCCTGCCCCGCTTCCGCCTGCCTTCGGCTATTGTGCTGTGTCACGTCGGCCGGGCGGAAAGGAAAGGGAGGGGGAGGAGGGAGGAGCTGCGGAAACGTTGCGCTCTTAGAGAATCGCGCCCTACGACGGAAGCGTACTGTGTAGCCCGGAAGTTTGCAGAGATGCGTGCTTCGCTCCGGTAGATCTCTTCCTCTATATTGCAATTACACTAGATAGCCACTAATTAGCATACACGCTAATTATCCATTTTTAAAAAAGATTATTTCAATCCGCTTCGTCCTCAGCTTATTAGGGCGGCCAGTTGCCTCCTCCGATGAATTCGAGTCTCATTTTTGTGCAGGGAACGTGAGAACACGTGTTGCCCCCGCTTCGGGTCTCAGCCTGGTGCTGAGGCGGATGAAGGTTTTGTTGTCTTTTATTGACAACAAATCTCCAAGAAAAGGGATCCTGGCCAAAATGCCAAGGAGCCTCAAACCACAGAATTAATAAAGCTTTATATATTTTCTCTAAAGCAGAAGGCGGGATCAGGTGGGACATATAAGAAATGTCATCTAATAAACATTTCAACAATAACCTAACAATTATTGTATTGGTCTCTAGCCGTCCCTGTTCCTAAGCCTTGGCTAATGAATGCTGCAGGAGTTACCTAATACACATCCTACTTGCTCCAGGCCATCTCTATTCCTAACTTTTAGCTGAGTCTGCAAAATGCCTAACTCTTCATTACTTTTATCAACTCTCTTAACCACCCAGCATTGTTACAAGCTTTACACGTGCATATTTCTTGTGAATAAGCATTCTTTGTTTTTGCCAGACAAACTCCCCAATTACAGACTTCCTGGACTCTTTTGAAGTGTATGCCTAATCTTGGCTTTGTTTTGCCATCCAGCCCATCACACGTATACTGGGGTTGTGTGAATCAAGGTGGGATTTCCTCGCTGAGGAGTTTTGCAAGCTTGATTTCACTCCTAGGGCAGCTAGAGAGGGAAAGCTCGAACAATGCACCCCCGGATTAAGAGACTCAAAGTACTTGAAACTCGCCATAGCCTTTAATCCTAAATTGAAAAGCCAGAGTTTGCTATCAAGAGGGGAATGCAAAAAACCAAGGGAGCTGAATATGTTGAGAAAAAGATGTTTTGGTTGACAAGAATTTTTTTATTGGGGGGGGGGCAGGAGAGAGTATTATTTTTCCGGTCTGTTTGCTGGAAAAGGTAACAATGTAGGTGGCCCTTGACTTACAATCACAACTGAGCCAAAAATTTCCGTTGCTAAGTGAGACAAGTGAATTTTGCCCAGTTCACTATCATTCTTGCCACAGTTGTTAAGTGAATCACCGCAGTTGTTCAGTTAGTAACACGGTTGTAAAGTGACACTGGCTTCCCCATTGACTTTGCTTGTCAGAAAGTCACAAAAGGGGATCACATGACCCCAGGACACTGCAACCGTCATGAGTCAGTTAACAAGCAGCTAAATTTTGATCATGGGGATGCTGCAAGAGTAATAAGTGTGGAAAATAGCCATGTTCCTTTTTTTCAGTGCTGTTGTAACTTCTGCCACTAAACAAACTGTTGTTGAGGACTACTTGCAGATCTGTGTTCACACATGCTTAAACCCAGGCTGAAGAAAACTCCCTCCTTAACTGTTCATACAATCTGAGACATGTTGCAAAACATCCTTATTTGGTTGCCTAAGTTGCCTCCTTCCTTAAAATTCTTGACTTGCAAGGATTTGGGTTTCTCCCTCGATGGAGTATCCTGGGATAGGATTTCATGGTTACCGCTTATTGTGTTAGTTGTTACTCTCAAGGGGAAACCAGACAGAATCGAAGCGGGTATAATAAACCCGGGTCAGCGGATTCGAGGATGACCCGCTAGGAGAGCAGCTGATGCACCCATTTGCTGCAAGCGACAAAGCAAGGACCAAAACCTCGGGGTCTTCTCCAAAACAGCCTTTATTTGCATTGACACTTTTTTTTAACATTTATGTCCACAAACCTGTACAGACTTCTCTAAAAAGGTAAATATGAATTTATAATAGTTAATATAGATGAGTATTGACAGTCGTTAAATATTATAAAAATAAATCCATTTCACGAAAGCCTTTGATTTTTAATATCCTCCGACATATTCATGTAACATGGATAAGGCAAAAAACCACAGCCAGGAAGCGCTCATGTCTGGGACAAGCCCCATGGGAACTTACCTAAAAATGCAGAAGAGCACCACAGGATGCTTCTCCGCAAGCCCACAGATCCCAAACAGGGCTTAGCCCAAGAAATTCCAGGTGGATTGTGCCATGTACTTTTCTTATTATTATTAACAGGGATTATTAAGGGCAAAATAAAGAACACAAAACAGGACAGCAGTAGCAGCAACAACAGTGGAGAATAGAACGGGGAAATTAGAGCTGGTAACTGAGGCGTGTGCTTCCCCCCCCACATGCTATAAAGATCATAAAAATTATTTTTGTTAGAACCTTTTGCTTTATAGGTATTTAAATATTGCTTTACTTTACAATTAAACCCAAACCACTTAAGAATTTTAAAGAGGCAACATTACAGTAGATCATTAAGTGAGGAATTAAAAACACGACATAAAGAGAACGGCCACATTTGCAACATTAAAATACACGGAATACAACAAACATAGAAAAACTGAAGAACCACACAGGCACCTGAACTATTGGGATTATTACAATAATGTCTTTTTCAGGATTACAGGCTACCTGAGTGTCAACAGTTAGTAATCCGAAGCTTCTAAATTTTGGGTAAGCACTCTTGAGAATCAAAGAAAAACTTTCAGAAACTAATTCTAGATGGTACTGATTCACATATTTGTATACAGTATTAATTTGCTAAAATAGATCTCTTATGCTTTAAAATTTATATTTATGAAGCTTTTTGTCTAAGATCCTACTTTGAGGACCTAGGATTTTTAATGATGCCGAAGAGAAAGCGCTCATGTATTGTTCCACCCAAAACTATGCAAGGTGCAGTAGTAATAAACTTAAATTATGTTTATCAAACTCCTCAAAAAGGGCTGTTTCCACCCTTTTCTCTTTACATGTAAAGGCTAACAGTGTAAATCAAATCATTATTAAGCAGGAATTTATACCTTTCGTTCTTTTTTTTTGGAAAAAAAAAACACCCTATACCAGTGGTGGCAAACCTTTTAGAGACCGAGTGCCCAAACTGCAACCCAAAACCCACTTATGCATCGCCGGGTGCCGGGTGGGCGTGGCCACCGAGCTGTCGGCTCGTGCTCACTCAGTGTCCGCTCCGACTTGTGCTCGCTCTCTCACTATCTGCAGCAAATGCTGCTTCCGCTGAAAGTTGCTCCTTTTATAGCCTCTTGCTTATTCCCAGACTGTGCGTGTGCGGAGAGCTGCGCATGCGCGGAGAGAACAGCTCGGCCCAGCAATGGCTCGTGTGCCACCAGAGACGGCTCCGTGTGCCGCCTGTGGCACGCGTGCCATAGATTCGCCACCATGGCCCTATACTGTCCAGTTAACGTCCTCTTGTCAGAGAATTTAATGAATTAGTAGTGTTCCATTGATCAAGCATCTTGTTGAAGTGATCGAAAAATAATGCTCATCTGCAGGTTGCGTTGAGGACGAGAGCGAAGACTAGCAAAGTGGACATGTTAACGTTTCCGGTGGGATTTATTTCGGAATAGGAAGTTTCATCTTCATTTCCATAGCCTGCTGCTGTCTTGCTATTTTAGAAATGGACTAGTGTGAGTCTTTGTGGTTACTTCTTGTTACGATAAGACTGCTTTTATTGTGAAGTCAACCTAATAGCACAGCAAGAAAAGCTATTAATCCACCGTGTTTTATTTACTCCAGTGTCGCAATATAGCATAAGGCATGTGGGTATGGAATTCTTCCCGATGCTGTAGAGTAAGGGGAAAACACGACTATCTGCAAATTAAAAGTTTTGGGTGTCGACCCATAGTCCTGGAGTCAAGCTAATGTATGCACGAGCCTTAATTCAAAACAAGGTACCAAGGTAAACACAATGGAAATAAGCAGCCAATAACTATTTTTTCCACATAAAAAAATATCTGCTTTAAGTTAATACCTATCTTAATATTTAACATGATTATTTCTTTATTTTAAAAGTGCTTCCCCCCCCCCCATGGAATTGTCAAATGTAAGGCAGTGCTTAGGTTGTGAAGCTGGTGCTTATAATAAGTGCAGGTAAAAATGTAAACAAACTAAATGACTATCTTTTTCATAAGGAAAGAAACCCAATAATATAATTAAAGCTTTTAAGATCATCAAACTTTAGTGTGCGCTTTAATTCTAATCTGTTCTGAAGCATTATATTTAGTATAGTACCCTGGTTAGAAAGGAAATATACATATACAGTATGTGGGAGAATGGACTTGCAGCTTAAGAATTATTTTCCAGTACAATTAATCATATTCAGAGAAACAAATTAGCTAAGTTAATAGCCTCCCACTAATTTCTACTGGACAGCAGAGTTTCTGCAGTCTTAATTTCACACTATTTTTGAAATGCAAGGCTCAGCCGGTCACCAAATCATGAACATATAGTACAGTATATGCCTCAGTTGGTATAAAAGATAAGTCATGAAGCCTTAATGTAAATGTATTTTCAATAGAGAGTGATTATACAAAAGATGAAATGAAAAATATTCACCCTTCCTTTAAAACCAGTTTTAGTTTCAATTTAAAAGATTGCATTTTCCTCCAGCAGCAAATTGGAATTTAGAAAAATCCCTTGCCATTTCTTAAAAAAAAGTCCAACTGTTTAAAAAAAATTAATGTGATTCCTTCAAAATATTAATGCAACCCACCTGTATTTGACTCCCTGCTTAAATTAAGCATACAGACACCTGGCTTAACCCTTTCCAAAACTTTTACTAATAAAAAGAGATAGCAACTTAACCAAGGGAGAAAAAGTGAGTTTCTATTGTCCCCTATTTTCACGTTTCTGGGGTTAGAACTTGAAATACTATATCATAACAGCTGATCTTTGTATAGCCTTACTGTTCAGATGCTAAATTCAGTGGATTATAAGAGCAATATAAACAGCCAATTCTGTAGTGGATGTATAGTGTAAAAACTACCGCTGGAACTAATATTCACTGTTCCTACCAAAAAACAGAAGGACCCAAGAATTTTTGGACTGGGATACATAATAGATAAATCAATCTATTAACAATAAAATACACACTGATCTGTGGGTAATGTATTACGAAGGAAAGGACATTATACAGCGAGACTACTATGATGCAAGTCATTTCAAGAGAGGGAGCACTGAAGCATTTTGAGGCCCTAATGCAGTAAATGAACATGAAGCTGCAATATGTAGCAAATTTAGATAACCAACAACGTAAAATTTATAGTTAACTAGTGCTTGTCCAAATCAATTCTCTTAAAAGAGTATTTTATTGCCTCAAGTATTTTCATGGTTTTTTTTTTTGCTTGAAATGTAATGAAAAATACTCAAATATTCCTGTATCATAGGCAAATCTTCATGGGACAATAATCCAATCTTTTAATCTTTTCATTGTCCCTTTTAGATTATTATGCTCTTGCTGGTTTACCATTTAAAACAGCAAGGTACGTTATCTCCAATTTGGCAGATAATAATCTAGTAAATATTAACTTATCTATAACACCCACACATATTGTCAATAACTTGTGTTAGAAATAAAAAAACACTCTTTTCCCTCTCAATTCAACAGCTCCAGAGTGACACAGTTTTGACATGTTTAAAACTGCAAAGCCTACACTTATTCTCAAGGAAATTCTACCAAGTGGAGATTCATTAAAAGCTTCCATTGTATCATTCAGCATTGGACAGATTAAGAAATTGCTGTTCAAAAACCTGTTATCAGTTGTGATGCAAGCAAGTGATTCAGAAAAAAAGCCCAAAATAAATATGAACTTTTGCAGATGTATTCGAGGCAAATTGAAAGGGGAAGAAGGATGCTCATGTTATGAAATCAATGGGAAAATCAGTCTCCTAAAGCAGAGCTGCAAACAAACACATTTCTGAACAAAGCAAGAAGTATGATTTCTTACATGATATTTACATGACATCCAAGTTCCTATAAATATCTCCAAAGCCATCTCGGTTTTTTTAAAACAAAATATTTTCAAAACTTCAAACACACAAAAATTGGCTGTTATCCACACTTACAAACCAGCCCAACCTACGATGGAGTAGTTCCTTTTTTAAAAATAAAATCACAGATGCCTCATTGAATCAATAAACCACAGTGCCCGAAGACTGAGGCAAAATGGAGAAACTGATCCTGAAAAATTAAGTCTACCTCTACTGTACGTTGTCAAATTTTTAAAAGTTAAGAGCGTTCAAAGATTCCTGTGAATTTTAGTCATGCTGGATTCTTGCTAGAAACTTTTTCAATAGGGCCAGCTGCATATCTCTTATGCTTAATGTATTTCTGTGGCCTCCAAGTTATGAATACTTCAAAGATATCTTTTATTGTACAATTTTATTTTCAAAAAAAAAGTACCTATCTTTTTTTTTTAAGAAAGGAGCTATTTTCCCACCGGTTTTAGTGCGTTAATCCTGGACAAAAAAAATAAAATGAAATAAAATATGAAATGATAAATTGAAGGAAGCTAACAAAAACATGCAAGCATCTTTCCCCATTACATAATTTCATATTGCAGCTTCAGGAAAATGAGTAACAGCACTTCAGTATTTTGGCAAATGTACATGACAAAATCTTGATCAGTGATTGATGATTTTCATTGCTTTAGGAAAAATATATTATTTTCTTGTCATGACATAGCCCAAGAGCCGCTGGACTCACTTAAGTCTACCAATTCTGGGCAAAAGAGCAACTGCATTCAAGGCTTTCAATAGATATCCGGACAATCGAAGAAATTTCTATCAAAATATCCTCCCGAGTATAACCAGTCAGCAGTCCCAGTATATGGATTAGTGCCTTGGTAAAACCATCTGTTTGGGGGGGGGGGAAACAAAGGTAAAAGAAAGGTAGTTAAATTCAGGAAAATTCAGTCCTCAACTTATGAAGACAATTGACCCCAACATTTCTATTGCTAAGCAAGACAGTTAAGTGAGTTTTGCCTCTTTTTTTGCCACAATTAAGTGAATCACTGCAGTTGTTAAATGAATCATGTGGCCATTAAACAAATCTGGCTTTCCTCATTGACTTTGCTTGTCGGACGTCAGCGGGGAAGGTTACAAAACATGATAATATCCAACATACCTTCCTCCTCCAATTTTCCCCACAACAACCTGTGAGGTAGGCTGGGCTGAGAGTGTCACCCAGCCAGCTTTCATGTCTAAGGCGGGATTAGAACTCACAGTCTGCTGGTGATTGGCCCAAAGGCACTCAGCCAGCTTTCCTGCCTAAGGCGGGATTAGAACTCAGTCTGCTGGTGATTGGCCCAAAGGCACCCAGCTGGCTTTCCTGCCTAAGGCAGGATTAGAACTCACAGTCTGCTGGTGATTGGCCCAAAGGCACCCAGCCGGCTTTCCTGCCTAAGGCGGGATTAGAACTCACAGTCTGCTGGTGATTGGCCCAAAGGCACCCAGCCGGCTTTCCTGCCTAAGGTGGGATTAGAACTCACAGTCTCCTGACGATTAGCCCACAGTCACCCAGCTGGCTTTCAGGGCTGAGGCGGGATTTGAACTTGAATGGTTTTTAATGTTTATTTACTTTAAAGTTTAGTTTTAACTTTTCTGCATTTTCTTTAATAACTCCCTGAAGAATGGCCAAAATGCCAGAGGAGAATAACCATCCTCCTCGACAGGTAAATGAGATCCAGGGAACTATAGACTGTCAGATTGATAACAATATTAAGGAAGATTCTAAAGCATGAAGTACTCAGCCTGAAAGCAACTTAGAAGCAGTTATGAATTCAAGGCTGTAGGGACAAGATTCAGTCCTTCACATTTTTTTAATGAGCCCCTCCGAGGAAGGTATGAAGAGAATGCTTTCCAAATTTGAATACAAAACAAAATTGGGTAGGACAGGGATCCTGAGAGACCGAAATCCAAAGTGGTCCTGAAAGGTTAAAAAATTGGGCTGAAAATACGGAACGATATTTAGCAGCGCAGATGTGAAATTCTTCGGTGGGAAATTAAATTAAATGCAGGATGTGGGAGACTTTAGCTTGGCAACGGTAGTGGCAAAAAGCTTTATCTTGGTAATTGATTGCAAAATGTGTTCAGGCTAGCCATGCGATGTGGCTGTAAAAAGACAAATGCAATTTCCCTCAAACATAGTTTATAAATTATGGGAAGTAACTGTTCTGTTTTACACTTCTATCGATCACATCTCAACTCAAGTACTATGTTCAGCTCCAAGGCTTTTGGGGAAAATCCAGAGAGGAAGATTTAGGAAGGGCAATGAGAATTATTAAGGGACTAGAAATTTCACCTTACCAAAAGAAGACTGGGTTGAGTGAGGAGAGAAATGATTGCTTTTTTTTTTTTTAAGTATTTAAAAAGTGTCAAAGAAATGACCAGAGGCACAGGCGAGAAGAAGGAATAATAATTGGAATAATTAACAATAAAAGAAGGAATAAGCAGTCTGTGTTGCCTATTTGCCTCTTTAATCTTTAGAAGGGAAGATTTCTAGCTCCGGGTTGAACTGCTCCTGGTGCTCTCCGAGCTTGGTTGTTTTCTTGCAGATATTTCAGTACCCAACTAGTATATAAACAGAAAGGAAATCCCACTCTCTTCTAGCACTGAAAATGTTATCTAGTTGGGTAATGAAACGTATACAGAAAACAGCCAAATTTAGAGAGCACCAAGGACCCCATTCTTTAATCTTCATTTTGCACATTCTTCCTATTGTAAAACAAAAATTTAAGTTCACACACACAGAGAGAGGGGGGGGGAAGAGAGAGGGAGAGGAAAGAGAGGTAGGGAGAAAGAAAAAGAGAGAGAGGGAGAGGAGAGAGAAAGAAAGAGGGAGGAAAGAGAGAGAGAGAGGAAAGAGAGAAAGGGGAGAAAGGGAGAGGGAAGAGAGGGAGGGAGGGAGAGAGAGAAAGGGAGAGGGAGAGAGGAAAGAAAGAGAGAGAGGAAAGAGAAAGAGGGGGAGAAAGAAGAGGAATGAGGGAGGGAGGGAGAGGGAGAGGAGGAGAGAGAGAGGTAGGGAGAAAGAAAAAGAGAGAGGGAGAGGAAAGAGAGAGGGAGGAAAGAAAGAGGAAAGAGAGAAAGAGGGAGAGAGGGAGAGGGGAGGGAGGGAGAGAGAAAGAGAGGGAGAGGAGAGAAAGGGAGAGGGAGAGAGGAAAGAGAAAGCGAGAGAGAGAGAGAGGAAAGAGAAAGAGAGGGGGAGAGAGAAGAGGAAAGAGAGGAAGGGAGGGAGAGGGGGAGAGAGAGGGGGGGGGGAGAGAGAGATGCAAAACAATCGAGGAAATCAAATTTTACTTTATACAGCACATCATTCCTGACTGGGTCCAAAAAAAGGCTGCCTATCTCCTAATGGAAACGCGTGAACTTTAAAACTGAAAACATAATTTTTTTTAAAAAAAAAAAACCACTTATGTAAGATGAGGAAGAAGATTGCCATGTGACGAGATTCTATATAGTTCCTGGATCCAATCTGGGTCGGTCACCCAGGACCAAAAGGTTCTGGTCAGAGAGAAGTTCCCCGAGGATGGACTCCAGAACGAGTCCGAAAGCCTTGGAAGACTAAACCTCTGGTCCTGGTGACTGACCCAGATTGGATCCTGCAACGTTATCCTGACCTGGGGTATTTCCCTGCATTCATATATATATATATATATATATATATATATATATATATTATCTACTGCAGGCACCGAAAGTGATCAGCACCCTTCCCTATTTCCAGGGCAGTGAATTACCTTGTCCTCCAGTCAATTTCCTCTTTTGCACGATCCTTTCGAGCATCTCTTTGCTTTTCTTCTAGCCTCTCTTTTTCTTTGCTTGCCAGATCTAACAGATATTTCAAGATATTTTTTTTTTAACGAAAAAGGCAAAAAAAAAAAAAAAAAGGTAGAGGAAGACATTAAAAAGTACAAAAAAAAAGTATATTTGTATACTCTTTCTAATCATTATCCTGAACCTTCAGCTGTCCACTGATATTCAAGCCCGAGTTCTGACAAAATACTCAAGAGAAATAAAATCTGCAATTACGGTATATAAATTATATATAAAGAACGGTTGCTGGAATTAGTTACGTCTAGTTTAGTTGGAAAGAAGGACCAGGGGGGGACATGATAGCAGTGTTCCAATATCTCAGAGACTGCCCCAAAGAAGAGGGAGTCAAGCTATTCTCCAAAGTGCCTGAAGGCAGGACAAGAAGCAACGGATGAAAACTAATCAAGGAGAGAAGCAACCTAGAACCAAGGAGAAACTTCCTGACAGTGAGAACAATTAATCAGTGGAACGACTTGCCTCCAGAAGTTGTGGATGCTCCATTTGTCTGAAATGGCACAGGGCTTCCTGCTTGAGCAGGGATTGGACTAGAAGACCTCCAAGGTATGTGCAAAAGATCCATTTAACTTGAGGTATCTGAGAAGCTGTCTCTTCCCAATGGGACTAGCCCAGGGGTGGGCAACCTTGGCTCTTTTATGACTCGTGGACTTCAACTCCCAGATTTCCTGAGCCAGCCACGCTGAGGAGAAAGGGAGAGGTTCCAAGCTGAGCCATGCTGGCTCAGGAATTCTGGGAGTTGAAGTCCACGAGTCATAAAAGAGCCAAGGTTGCCTACCCCTGGACTAGCCCATCCCACGGAAGAGGTCTGCTACGGATCCTGTTTGCTAAGGAATTCAAATGGGCGGAGCCAAGGAGAAGAGTCCTTTTTGCTGTGGCTCCATCCCTGTGGAACACTCTACCACTGAAGGTGAGAACTTGGCCTTGGGGAAGGATATTAAAACTTGGTTGGCTTGAGGCCTTGGGGATGGGTATATACTGCTGGAGGTAGCTGACAGGGTAAGAAGACCTCATCCCTGTGCCATCTCTCTCTTAGTCTTCATGTTTTGTATAGTTTAAAAATGTTTTATTTACATAGTTTTAATGTTTTATTGTTTTATAATCTGTTAGCCACCCAGAGTCACATTATAGGGGGGATGGTTGGCATAAAAATATAATAAATAAATAATAGCCATTAAACCAGTGGTTCTCAACCTGTGGGTTGGGACCCCATTTGGGGTCGAACGACCATTTCATGGGGGTCACCAAACAAGGCTGTCCACCATTTTTTCCCCCTTTTCTTTGGCCACGCCCCTGGCACCCAGTGATGTATAAGTGGTTGGGAGTCACCGCAACATGGGGAACTGTATTATGGGGTCGCGGCATTAGAAAGGTTGAGAACCACTGCATTAAACTTTCCCATTTATGAAAACATCCCCACAAAGATAAGCTTCAAAACCATTAAAGAAGGAATTTGTTAGAGCAGATTAAAACAGAACACTCTGCACTCAATTGACAGATAACACTGGCAGAAAAAGGCTGACCTCAAGATAGGCAAGGCTTTGGTCTATCTCTATCCCGTTATTTTTATCAATGAGAGTTTTAATTATTAAGAGTTCGTACCTGGAACCTTAAAAAGGATTATACAATTTGTATATGAGAATTATAACAGAATAACAGAGTTGGAAGGGACCTTGGAGGTCTTCTAGTCCAACCCCCTGGTCAGGCAGGAGACCCTATACCATTCCACACAAATGGTTGTCCAATCTCCTCTTGAAAGCCTCTGGTGTTAAGAGCATCCACAACTTCTGAAGGCAAAGCCATTCCACTGATTAATTGTTCTCACTGTCAAGAAATTTCTCATTATTTCTAGTCTGGTTTTCTCCTTGATTAGCTCCCATCCACTGCTTCTTGTCCTGCCTTCAGGTGCTTTGCAATTTATACTGTTTTTCTAAATATCTAGAACATGTTTCTACCATTTACCCTTCAGTAAATTCCCTTGTCCTAAAATAGGTTCACAACTTCTACCAGACTCAGTGCATGCCAGGACTGCCCTTCAAACAGTAGTATCTTCAAACAGTACTGTGTTTCCCTAAAAATAAAACCCAACTGGAAAATAAGCCCTAGCATGATTTTTCAGTACGCTCATAATAGAAGCCCCACCCCCAAAATAAGCCTCAGTTAAGACGGGTGTATTTAGTATCGCATTTCCCTGAAAATAAGACCTAACAGGAAAATAAACCCCAATGTGTCTTTTGGAGCAAAAATTAATATAAGACCCGGTCTTATTTTTGGGCAAACTGGTAAATACTATGGCCATGACACCAACTACATTTGATGTGATTAGCCTCAAGTACAGTTCATATGATTCTCCTCCATCCATAAATGCATTTTTTTTTCATCTGTCACATTAAAAATTGTAATTTTATAACAAGGTCTACTGGTTTAGAGAGTGTACTCAACACTACGGGGGCATCAGGATGGACCCTTCAAATTCAAAGGGTCAAACCACCCTTGGAATACACAGAAGAGAATAAGATATAAGGGCATCAACTCGGTAAGAAAAACATAGCTTTGCTTGAGGTTTCTAATCTGTGAGGGCAATGCCCGCCTGCATATTACACGTACCTATCTCTCCATTTTCCATATGCCTTATGTCTGGTCTTAACCGACAGTCAGTAGGAGCCAATATATCTTCCATGCCCTTCTCCAATTCATTAAGAGTGACAGCAAAACTGGTGAAATTGTACATCTGAAAGCAGAAACAGGAATGTAAACACACAGCATGTAGTATATGTCATCTTCCTCTCTAAGAGCCCTGAGGGAGTTGGATGGCCATATACAGTTTCTTAATAAATAAATATTAACTATGCACATTTATTATTTGTTAATACATAGGATAAAAATATTGCGCTCACTGAATTTATGACATGTATTTTACGAGGATCTGGGATTGCATCATTTTTGTTTACTGGATTACAATCTGGTATCCCTACTGGGTGGTTAGACTTAATTACAAATACATGAATTTATCAACCTGTCAGCTTAACCTATCAACCTACTAACAACGTGGCAGTTAATAAAGATAGTCCCTTGTCTCCCTCAATCTTTAAATTGGTTTCTTCTGTTACATCATCTTTAAATTAATAAAGGCATAGCGGCCCTCAGCACTGCATATAAATTGTTCTAATATGCCAATGTTGTTATTATGGCTTTTCTTGATAACTATATAATTGTATGTTCAAACGACACAGCAATATTTTACATTCTGATTGTGCTATGAATTGCAGGAAGTTTAATTTGTTGCCTTTTCCATCTACTACAGGCATGTCAAACTGCCGGCCCGTGGGCCGGATGCATCATGACGAAACCGCGCCCACCCCATTGCCGGCAATGGGGAAAAAGTCGTGATACGTCGTGCGACGTCACATGACGTCATGAGTTTGACATGCCTGATCTACTATATCCATATATTTGGAAGGAAGGACCATATTAGCGACAGATTGCCGTGGAGCAATTCACATATCTTGGTGAATGCTGAAAAGTGACCCTAACCCGATGACACAAAATCGAAATATCTATAGATTACTATGGAAGAGATTCAACTTAATATCAATTCCATCCGAGTTGCAAGACAACCCATGGCTACTAAGCAATTTTACAGTATCAGAATTAACACTTTTTCAAGTATTTTACAACTTCCGATCCTTTATTTTATTCACAGAATTTTAACATTCTAAAAGGAAACACATAAAAGATTTTTTTCTAATCTACTGATATGCTTTCGGTCAAGTACATAATATGTAAAAATCCACTTCCAATATTCAGAGCAGCTCACCTGTGATGAATTTGATGGCCTTGAGCTTATCCTCCAAAGTAGCTTACTACCAGGTATAACTTGCACAGTTTCTTGAATCTCTGGCATATCATCGGCTTCATCATTTTCAGGGTCCTCTCTCTTAAAATGAAATAATTAGGCATATTCAATCAAAAGAGCATCAAGGAACTTCTGAACTACTGTCAAGCCATACATGGCTTCCATTTAGGCACACTGCTTCCTGGTTTCTTAAACCAAAGGTTCTGGAGACCTTAAACAGCAAGCTATGATTTAAGGCAGAATGTTTCCAAACTTGGCAACTTTAAGACTTGTGGACTTCAACTCCCAGAATTCCTCAGCCAGCCATGTTGGCTGGGAAATTCTGAGAATTGAAGTCCACAAGTCTTAAAGTTGCTAAGTTTGGAGACCTCTGATTTAAGGGCTCCCAACTCTTTCCAACATTATCCAATATGGATATCCTTGGGGGAGGATTTTAAAAACCACAAAGCCAATTTAGAAAAGGACATGGGAAGAAGAATGGGGAAAGATGGAGCATCCAAGTTCATTTATGGTGCAATGAACTGTTGAAGCAACAACATGTAGGCTCAATCTCCTTCTTGTTCCCTGCAGCACGAAAACTTCATTAAATACTTCCATACCTCCATACGCCTTACATTAATCTTCTCAGGCTAAGCTATGTTATTCAAAACAGAAAAAAAAACCAGTAACTAATATTAACCATAGTTAAAGGGAGGAAAGTAAAAAGAAGCAAAGGATAGCTGGTTCACATCATTTTACTTCTCCGTATTTTTCTATCCTTAAAATCCATCTTTGCTTCAGCCATGCCATAGACCATGTCATTCATTGCCTCTTATTCATTAAAATTCCCTCTCTCCTCCTTGCCAATGTCTGCTCCTACTTTACTCTCACTCTCGTACTATTTATTACAATCCCCCACACTCACAAGGGTCAAAATTATCTCTTCTTTCAATTTCATCCCTTTGCCTGCTCATTTTATCAACAACTGTTCTAAAAGCCTCCCATTGCAATGAATTGCAGAAGGGAGAACAATGTATATCATTTCTTGCCTTTGGTAACATGGGCAGCATATAAGGTTAATAAATAAATAAGGATTTCCATATACAGGCAAACCTCAACTTACAACCAGTCACTTAGCAACCATTCAAAGTTACAATGGACCTCCCAGAGCTAATTACGACCCCCATTCGAAGTTGCAAGGTCAGCCCCCTTGCCCTGCAGTCAACATATTAGGTGCTTAGCAACCACCTGCATTTATGGCCATTTGTAGCGCCCCAAGTCACATGACCACAATTTATGACCGGGGTTTACTTCTGATTTCTGGCAAAGGAAAACCCATTGTGGACAATGGATTTGTTTAATGACTGCAACACTGGCTTTGTGACTGCTGCAAAAATAGTTGTAAAATTGGTACAGTCAATGACAACTTGCTTAATGTTTGGCATATTAACGACAATAATTCTGGGCTCCAATCGGGCCATAAATTAAGGACTAACTGTAATCCCTGATTGCCTTGAACACCACATTGAATAATCCCAGAACTTATCAAGGTAAAGATGATACCCTTATCGCAGGGTTAGACAATCTTGGCTCTTTTATGACTCATGGACTTCATGCTGGCTCAGGAATTCTAGGAATTGAAGTCCACAAGTCATAAAAGAGTCAAGGTTGCCTACCCCTGCCTTATCGTAACCTAAGCAACAATCATCCCATTTGCACTGTATCCTGTTTAGAAAACAATTTTCTTAAAAAGAAGTGCAAGCTCCTTTATTTTCATAAAACTTACCGGCTTTGGTTTCTTCTGATCGCCTCCTTTTCTCTCGTTCTTCTTGTAGTTTTCGTAAGAGTAAGGATCAACGCACCACAAGCATTCTGTCCATTTCCCATAGATCACTGAGAGTTTTTTCTTACTGTTTTTAAAAGATATTTTAGCTTACTCAGATTCTGTAAATTTCCAGCCTAATTAACTTCTGATAGAATCTAATTCAGCCCTAACAGCACAAATGAAATATGTATGAGTCTGAACATGGGCTTATGAGATTAACCTTTCTAATATGAAGGAATGTCACTCTAACTACCGATACTGTAATGTTATTTTTCTTTCCCACAATCAGATGATCTGGAATAGGAGTGGCAAAAAAAAAAAAACCCAAACCCAAGGTGACATGAAAAGTTATCATATCTGCCATTTGCTGGAAAGAACCTCAAAACATAGAACACAACTTCTAGCAGCTTTCAACATACTCTCACCTTAAGTTCACACTTTCCACAAATTACTTTTTTTTTTTTTTTTTTGCAAAACTATAGTTAATTATAAATGAGAAAAAGTAGTCAACTTATTTCCAAGGCAATAGAAATCTACAAATTAAATTAGGTGAGGAAAAGAATAGTTATAGAAAAATGGATGGGATGGGTGGGATTGACAAATTATAAGGCAATCATATTTACTTCATATTCCAGACTGCAAGAACCGCTAATAAAATTCACGGCTGAGATTCTGTTTTTTCTTATTATGCGTTGAGGTAGTCCTCAACATAAGACCACAACTGAGCCCCAAAATTTCCACTGCTAAGCAAGACAGCTGTTAAGTGAGTGTGGCCCCATTTTGTGACCTGTCTTGCCACAGCTGTTAAGTGAATCACTGCAGTTGTTAAGTTAGCACCGAGGCTGCTAAATGAATCCTGCTTCCCCCATTGACTTTGTCAGAAGGTCGCATAAAAAAAATAAAAATTAATCACATGACCCTGAGACACTGCAGCTGTCATAAATACGAGCCAGTTGCCAAGTATCTAAATTTGATCACCTGACCATGGGGATGGTGCAATGGTCGTAAGTGTGAAAAACGGTCGTAATTTTTTCAGACCACGGAAACTGACTGTTTTAGAAAAAAAATTCCTGGAAGCTCTGATCAAGAGGGGTGGGATTTCTGAATGTTGGATGACAAGCTCAGCACTTTTCCCCCGAGTGACCAAGAATGAAAGAATTCTCCAGTTCAGTCCCTTATGGAAAGCGCTTTTTCCCTATTAGTACTGCAGAGCTCATGCAAGTCTTCATGGCACCCAGTTTGAAAAACCCCAAACTCTAGAATAGTATAGATAGACCTCAACTTATGACTGGGCTTTCCTTCGGGCTATTTATGACCCAGATTCAAAGTTCCAACAGTCAGGGACCCTCTGGGGTCACATGACCGCACTTCAATTCTTCTGTAGGTTCTGAGGTTTTTGCTTGATTAAAAAATACAGGAAACCAGAAGTTGCCTTTAAGCTTTATGTTTTTATTCAGCTGAACAAAGACGGGCTCCTCTAAATGAGAGAAGCCCCGAATGACAAGAAATCCTTGTATTTATTCTTTCTGATTACATAAGCAATCCACCCAGCAAAGCTGACACACATAAGATAAAGATTTCGCCCAGTTAAGTCTGGCACACTGTAAATAAGAAGAGAGAAAGCCAAAGTAGCTAAAAATGTTCCCTTTTGGGTGTTTCCCTAAAGACATCGTACGTTCCTGAGTGGGTTAGGACAATGAGTGTTTTCCTTGCTGTCCTTCCATGACCCTACATCCATGACTCTGCAAGGGCCCAAAGACAACAGGGCCAACTGCACATATTCACAATTGATACTTCCTATGCTGTCCCCTAATTCCAGGTCAACACAATCACTCAGCAGCACAGTCCCATTTATGACTCTTGGCAGCGTCCCACGGTCATGTCACCACATTTTACGAGTTTTGCCGAAATCTGGCACAACTGCCCCATCGCAAACAAACGGGTCACTTAATGACTGAAGCATTCACTTAACAAACATTAAGCGTTTGCTTAATGACCACAAGAAAAGTTGCAGTATCATGTCAGTCACAGGACTGACCTGTTTTACTACCCGTCGTGATTTATAACTTTAATGGGCAGGCTTCTTTACAGTCGTATGTCAAGGACTACCTGTCACGAAACTCAGCTATTGGAGAAATATGAAAGATTTTATACACTGCTATTTCCTCAGAAATCGGTACAGACTTCTGTATGTTTCTTTTCTGTAGAGCAAATTGGAAAGTTTTTCCATATGGGAAGATAGTGTATAACCACTTAGATCAGGGGTGTCAGACTCAATTTCATTGAGGGCCGCATCAGCATTGCGGTTGCCCTTGGGGGGCTGGGTGGGTGTGGCCAGCTCTATATCGTTCACATCAAGGGTGCCTGTGGGGGCCTGGGCAGGAGTGGGACAGATCTGAGGGTCTCTGGCAGAAGGGGGTGGGACCAGGACAAGCGCCAAGGCATGGTCCATTTCTTCATTCCTCATAAAGGGTGACACTTCCCCAGCATGCACCCAGGGGGCGGGCCCGACGCAGTAGGGGCTGGTTTCTCGCTGTTTCTAGATGGCCTTCTGGAGCTAAGACTGAATGCATTTCAGCATAGATGGCCACCACAAAATTATACATTGGCTCCTATCCGGCCTGGGCCAGGGCCAAGGCAGCGGGGGCCGTTCCCTCACTGTTTCCAGGATGGCTTCGCGGGCCACATGAAACCATTTTGTGGGCCACATCCGGGCCCCGGGCCTTGTCTTTGACATGTCTGACTTAGATCAAGGGTCTTCAAACATGGCCCTTTTATGACTTGTGGACTTCAACTCCCAGAATTCCACAGCCAGTGTGCCTGGCTAAGGAATTCTGGGAGTTGAAGTCCACAAGTCATAAAAGGGCCAAGTTTGAAGACCCCTGACTTAGATCCATTCACCCCTCCAAGGTCCTTTCCAGCCCTATGATTCTATGATTCAGAGAGATCACTTACTTTTTGTCCTGAATGTAGCCCTCTATTCTGTGAAGCTCTTTACCAAACAGCCCACATGGTTTAAAGTTAAGAATACATTTATCTCCAGTACTATAAAAAGAAAAGAAAAGAAGTTGCAAAGCGCTAAGATCTCATAGCAAAAAAAAGCTTCTCCCCAGTCAGTATCTGCATCATATTACTTATTTATTTATTTATTTATTTATTTATTTATTTATTTTTGTATCCCGCTTTATTATTTTTACAAATAAACTCCAGGCAGCGAACATATCGAAACCCAGCTTATTTTCCCCACCACAACCAACCCTGTGAGACAGATCTGGGATGAGAGAGAACGTCTGGACCAAAATCACCCAGCTGGCTTTTGTGGTTAAGGCAGGACTAGAACTCCCAGTCTCCCAGTCTCTAGCCTGATGCCTCAACCATTAGACCAGGGGTAAGCAACCTTGGCTCTTTTATGACTCGTGGACTTCAACTCCCAGAATTCCTCAGCCTGGCTGAGGAATTCTGGGAGTTGAAGTCCACGAGTCATGAAAGAGCCAAGGTTGCCTACCCTTCCATTAGACCAAACTGGCTCTCTGTCTGTCTCTCTCACAATGTTGCTAATCACTGTGCTCTTGATTATCGCAACCACTCATGGGCAGTTTTACCACAGTTTGGGAGAAAGGGCCAGTTCTTCCAGGGAAGGGGGAGGGAGAAGACAAAAATATAACAACAGACATGTAGAAGTCCATCTTCACACCTAGATGGATGCTCAACGCTGTGCTCACTGAGAAAGGACAGAACTTAAATTGGTTTCTTTTTTAACATGATTTCGAACCCCATTGAATTTAAAAATCAATATTGTAGCCTGCACTAGAAACACTTTTTTATTGTAAAGTGTTTGCACTCAACTCCTAAACAATTTATTGGAGTTGAGAAGCTTAAAAATTTCTATAGGAAGGTTGCAGAAAAACTTCAGCAGTAAAAGAGATTTCTTACATATTCTGCCCCTGCGTTAGAGAGAAATATAATAATTCTTTAACGCAGGCTCATCTCTTCCCACGCAAACAGAAGAGAGATATTAAAATTCCACAGAAACAAATCTTTATCCTTCAAGCTGCTTCTGCCAACAGGCAGAACCAGATAGACACAACTTCACAGTGATATATATTACATTTGACAGAACACGAAATGTCACATAAATGAAAATGTACCTGTGATTTATAATTTCTACTGTTCCGTACTGTTCTATCCAAAGCTTGCCAATAATTACATTATGTACACAACAGGTAGGGTTACTCCAAGTGTAAGCTTCACGGTGTCTGTAAATGAAGAAAAGGTTGATCAGATGCTTAGAAAATAATAAAATAAAATAAAATAAAATAAATAAGAAAATAAGAGACAGAAAACCTGATTACAGGCAGTCCTTGACTTATAGCCATTGAATAATTTAGTGATCATTCAAAGTTACAACGGATAGAAAAAAGTGATTTATGACAATGTTTCACACTTATGACCATCCCCACGGTCACATGATCAAAATTCCAGTGCTTGGCAACTGGCATGTATTTACGATACTTGTGGTTTCCTGAGGCGATATGACCACCATTTCTAACCTTCCCAGCTGGCTTCTGACAAACAAAGTCAACGGGGGAAGCCAGATTAATTTAACAACCACATGATTCACTGAACAACTGCAGTATTTCGCTTAACAACTATGGCAGAAAAGGTCTCAAAAATGGGGCAAAACTCACTTAACAACTGCCTTGCTTAGCAACAGAAATTTGGGGCTCAACTGTAGTCATAAGTTGAGGACAACCTGTACTGTCCCAGATCTTGAAGTAATATAGTGATAAACTATAAGATTCACTTATAGACAAGAATCACTTGTTGAGAGGGATGGCTATACAAACTGATCAAATAAATATATAAGATTTCATTCTGTTTGGCATTTTGCTTTCTGGATGCAAATTTCTGTGGGTATTTTTTTTTGTTTACTTTATTAATCACAATTTTACTAGTGTAAAGTGCCTAGACTAACCAGACTGTCTCTAAATTTATGTAAATATGTTTATTAAATAAAACTGAAAACAAACTAGTTTTTAAAACCATAATACAAACATTAACCACAAAGCAACAATGAAGAAGATGAAACTAATAAATGTCACTTTAAAAATTTATTTTGTAGCTGATTGGAGGGAAGGGTACCATGTCAAAAGTTTTTGTTTTGTTGCTTAATAACCTGAAAAGATTGGTAGTAATTTGTAACAGTTTCACACAGTAGGCAGGTTGGGCTAAAGCAATAGTTAGAAAAAGGAGATTTCACTGTAGCTTCTAAACCAAACTCCTTACATTCCTAACAGCACCAACACCTTGAAATTTTTGAAACTTACTCAAGGTATGAACTCAGCAAACATAAAATCCTAGAACTGACAACATCCACTTAATGTTTGGCAAAATATTTTCTTGTTCTACCACAGATCAGCAGCTACATGAAACAAAGCCTAAATTGCATATTAAAATGTTTCATTCTTTCCTCATCCATCATTTATAACCCATATAAACCTTCAATCACAAATGTTCCTTCACTGGAGGAAAAAAACATATAAACAAATTAACAAAGAAAATGCCACTTTAAGAAGACAGGGCATTTTTTAAAAAAAAAAACAGTCAAATATTCTTTTACTATTATGAAGAGGGCCAATTCATTGAAATATGGTACTTTTTTCTGTCTCTTTTATTGTGCAATAATGGACGATACGCAGAATTAATATTGTCTTCCAAATTCACAATTGATGAACAAAACAGTAAATGGCTTAGATTGTATGCCTGCTAATATTTATAATATGACCAGCAACATATTTTTTATTTTTCCCCACTGGAATAAGTGCAATCTGGATCAGAAAATCTTTCCTCTCCGTGTAAATACCGTGTTTCCCCAAAAGTAAGGCCTACACCAAAAATAAGCCCTAGCTTGATTTTTGGGGTGGGCCTAATATAAGCCCTACCCCAAAAATAAGCCCTAGTTTTGGGGTGAGACACATAGCTGAAAATCAAGCTAGGGCAGGGGTGTGGAGTGGAGCTGCCCCATCCGCCCTGCACCCACTTACCTTGCAGCCAGGCCTCTCCTCGCCAGCCCACTTCTTCTTCTGAGGCCTCTTCTGCAGCCAGGCCTGCATTTCTCAGTCACAGGGCTTTCTGGAAGGCCTGTGCAGCCAAGAACCAAACTATGGATTGAATCCTTAACTCGGTTCTGCAAGAACTCAGCAGCCGAGCACCAAGCTAGGGATTGAATCCATAGCTCGGTACTCGGCTATTTAGGCCTTTTGGAAAGGCTTGACTGCAAAATGCAGGCCTGAATGCAGCTGCAGAAATTTAGCCACAGAAGAAGTGGACCGACTGGGTGGGGCTGTCGGTGCCGGAGGTGAGGTAAGGCCTACCCTGAAAATAAGATCTCATGTAAATTTTTACAGATCACATTTAATCTCTGTAAATTCTAGGATAACTATGTGTTTCATGAAGAGATGAATTTCCATTGGCTATGAATCTCATTGCTTTTAATTTGAAAGGATAATCCTGACTTTCTTTGGCATTAAAGAAAAATGCACGCATTGGAACAGCTTCACTGCTGTTTATACAGATTATACTTGCTTGCTGATGAACTTACTGACTAACACATTACTTTGCATGATCAGTAATCACTTTCATTCCTGTTCTCACTGATCATGCAAAGTAATCTGTTAGTCAGCAAGTTTATCAGTAAGCTCTATGAATTTATGCTCTATGACAGAGGTGAGGAATGATGGCCCCTTTATGACTTGTGGACCTCAACTCCCAGAATTCCTGAGCCAGCCATGCTGGCTCAGGAATTCTGGGAATTGAGATCCACAAGTCATAAAAGGGCCATCATTCCCCACCCCGTTCTATGACATGTTAAAGCAAGCATGACTACTAATATAGTTTCTCTCTCCCCCCCTTTCTCTCTCTCTCTCTCTCTCTCTCACACACACACACACACACACACACACAAACATACAGAGTTACAGCAGAACAAAGCCACCAAGTAAAACATTAGGTCAGGGGTCTTCAGACCTGGCCTTTTTATGACTTGTGGACTTCAACTCCCAGAATTCCTCAGCCAGGCAGTTTGAAGACCCCTGCATTAGGTACAGATACTCCTTGACTTATGACAGTAATGGGACCCACACATCCCAATCGTAAATTGTGATGGGAGCATAAACATCAGAAATTCAAATCCAGGTTGGAAATAGCCCCTCCAGTAGCTATATTGTAACTTTGAATTGTGGCTAAGTGACTGGTTCATAAATTGAGGATTACTTGTATTGATGACAGTGATGCAACTACAGAGTAAATAATTTAAACTTTCCTAAAAAAAATTATGCAAAGCCACAGAGCAGGTGTAATTATTACTATGTGGCTCTCACCCAGTCTTACAGCAATAATTAGATTTCATTTTAAATAGACTGGCATTTATCAGCTAAAAATTAATTGATTAGTACATATAAACTAATAGCAGCTATATAAAGCGTCATTCATCAACAGGATGCAGTGCACTGATAATGTTGTCTAGTATGGTAATGAAAAATTGGTAAGAGAACCACCAGCTTTAGAGAATACCAAAGAACCCACAGTTTATCCCTGAGCTACAAATATTCTCTTCTATCAATATTGATATTTTTGCACTATAATTTGTATTTGTGCTTAATACCATATTTTGGGCATCTGAGTTATAGAAACTTTGAGTTATAGAAACTTAAGACCTCATATGCAAACACAATCCAGAAAAAGATCAATACATGAAAATTCCTTGGTAGAGATAGCTATTAAAAGGAAATACCCAGACAAGAAAGAAGAGATATACTTACTTTATCAATTCCAATGTTATGATTCCCCGGGGTTCTGCTTCTACGCTCTTCCCCCAAAACTTCAATTTAGGATAAATTGAGCCATGAAAAACGAAGTCCTGGTTTAAGCCTTCAGAGTAAAATGCGCTGATAGGTGGATGATGACTGACTTGTTCAGAAATCAATCTAAAACCTAAATCATCCCTAGAAACAAGAAAAAGTGATCAACAGTATAAATCAGTTACTGAAAAGAAAAACTTCAAATTACTGTAATCAAACATTTGTCTATCTCTTGTAACAGCTTCCTTAACCTTCTTATTTGTTTCATTACTATATTGCCAAACTCAATTATAATTACTGCCTTTGCTGCACTGATGATGCTACCTAGTTTGGTAATGAAAAGTCTGCAAGAAAACAACCAAACTCAGAGAGCAAAAAGGACCCCACAGTTCAATCTTGAGCTACAAATATTCTAACAATAGAAATATTGTTGCACTGGGCAACTTCAATGCTCAAAAACAGAACAAGTGCTTCTTGGCTGTTGACATCCAGTTTGAGAATCCCAAAAAAACTCCAGGTTCATTCCGTTTCTGAAAATCTTGTTGTTGTTAATTGCGAAGTCGTGTCTGACTCATCACAACCCCATGGACAATGTTCCTCCAGGTCTTCCTGTTCTCTACCATCTTCTGGAGTCCATTTAAGTTCACGCCTACTGCTTCAGTGACTCCATCCAGTCACCTCATTCTCTGTCGTCCCCTTCTTCTATTGTCCTCAATCTTTCTCAGCATTAGGCTCTTCTCCAGGGAGTCCTTCCTTCTCATTAGGTGGTCAAAGTCCTTGCGTTTCAACTTTAGGATCTGGCTTTCTAAAGAGCAGTCAGGGTTGATCTCTTCTAGGACTGACCGGTTTGAACGCTTTGCAGTCCAAGGGACTCGCAGGAGTCTTCTCCAGCACCATAGTTAAAGGCCTCAATTCTTTGGTGCTCAGCCTTTCCTAAAAAAACTTTCACATCCATACATTGCAACTGGGAAAAACATGGCCTTGACTATACGTACTTTTGTTGGCACGGTAGTATTATTAAATACTACTGCATGGAAACGCTGAAGCAAAAATAACTCTGAAGTTCCAGATACCAGTTCATCGAATTAAACAATAATTTCCCCAGCCAACCCCCCCGCACTCTCACGTAGTCCAGGTAAGCAATTTCACGTTGTTATGGGAACCATCTGCTTCCTCTCCACACCTGCTGCAGTGTCCTTGAAAATGTTTCAGGCTCTCACGGTCTTCAGCAAAATCATAGAGGTTTCGTTTCTCCATCTAACCCATTCTAAAGCAACACCTCCCCCCCCTTAGGCTAATGGCAAGTTGAAATGAAGAGGCACATAGCTGCCAAAGTTTCATTCTTGACATTGGCTTTATGAAAGGCCGCTTGTTACCAGTCAAAGCTTGGAGGTAGGTTACTCTATCAAGTGGGGACCACCCTAGACAACACTTCCAATCCTCCCTGGTTTTCATCCTTTGTAGGTCATTTCCCTTTTGCTTCTTCAGGTTCAAAACTTTTTATTTCTAACCTGGTCTGCCATAGAAGCAGCAGAGTGAAATTTACACAATATTTACCTTCCATGATGTGGCCATTCCCAGCTAGAAATTCTACAAGGGACGATCTCGAAAGATCTGGAAGGCATTATGTTGCATAGGCATTAGCCTATGCCAGGGGTAGGCAACCTTGGCTCTTTTATGACTCGTGGACTTCAAGTCCCAGAATTCCTGAGCCAGCATGGCTCAGCTTGGAAACCTCTCCCTTTCCCCTCAGCATGGCTGGCTCAGGCATTCTGGGAGTTGAAGTCCACGAGTCATAAAAGAGCCAAGGTTCCCTACCCCTGGCCTATGCCATTTTAAAACAGTCAGGCATCTGGCTAGTACCTTTATTCACAAAATCCAAACTGAAAACATTCTTTTGGACCAGGAACCGGGGACATATAAGGCACATTCCCAAATGAAATTAAGACTGTAGCCTCACCTGATTAATTCGTATGTTTCTCCAAGGAGAGGGTTAAACGGTTTGCCTGTTCTCTCCCACTGAGCGGCGACAGCAGACACGGCGAAAGCAGCAACAGCCTGCAAGATGCATGATGGGTAAGAGTTTCTCCCACAAAACAGAAAATAACCCAACTTGCATTCTTAATTATTAATGAAAAACATAATGAAACAGTACTGTTGACTTTCAAATGCTGCTATCCAGATTCCCCCCACAATTTGGGAGTGACCGGCACACACTGAAAATATTAATAAACACACTGTGGGCACACTTAGTGCTAAGTGATGAGCGCATTCACAAAATGATTGCTGGGGGAAGAGCTCCTCCATTCATAAAAAGGCCGATTTAGGCAGATTCCAACTGTCACTTCCTCTAGAATAATGATCATGTCGCTTTTTTCAGTGCCACTGTAACTTCAGTCACTAAACAAATGGTTGTAAGTTGAGAACTACCTATATAGGCATTTCCCCCATTCAGATCCATAAACAGGACCCTGCGGGTTTTTTTCCAAATTCCCTATCCCAGCCTTAATGTGCCTCCATCATTTTTTTTTCTTTCCTTCTATATCAAAAATCCAAAGCAGTTATTTCGTTCAGAGAAACCCTGACCGCGTATAATTTAATTGCCCTTTCTGATACTTTTTCCCAGCTCTTAAATATTTAGTTCATGAGAAGCATTCTCATTACTGTTCCAAGTGTGGCTGCATGATCAATTAATTCTCTTCTAATGATCTCCAACATGGACTTTGCATTTTTGATAACAGCATCTCAGTGGGTCAACGGTTTTCTTGTGAGTGATACCACAGTGTGGGAGAATGACCTAGGGCAGTGGTTCTCAACCTTTTTAATGCCGCGACCCCCAACCGGTCGTAAGTCGAGGACTAAACCGGTCGTAAGTTGAGGACTAAACCGGTCGTAAGTCAAGGACTTTCCCTGCCCAGGAGCGCCACGCATGCGTGGTGCCGCCCCCTGCACCAGCTGAGGCGTAGCTGGCAAGCGGCAGAGACGGAGCAGGCCAACCAGCGGCTGGGCCACCAGCTGGCCCAGCCCAAGGGAGGTAAGGCACCCGCCGGAAAAGGGGGAAAAAATGGCGGACAGCCTTGCTTGGCGACCCCCGTGAAATGGTCGATCGACCCCAAATGGGGTCACGACCTATAGGTTGAGAACCGCTGACCTAGGGAATGATCAGATAAGAGGAGAGCCCACAGTTGCTTAACGGTCAGAGGAAAAAACTTGGGAAGGGCCCACCCGAAATGATCAAGCTATAAAGTCAGGAGCTTTGTACTTTCAGACTTCCAAGATTCTGTTAATGTAGCCTTACAGTAAAGTAGAATTAGCTTATCTGGTTGTGTTACCTCTGATTTACCTGGGAGCTGACATCACAGAATATAATCCTACAGTTTTCTAGATTTATTGCCTCTGTAGGACATAAGAGTGGCTATCACAAATACATAAGATAAATCTGTTAAACCAATGGTGGGATTCAGCCAGTTGCACCACTTCGGCAGAACCGGTAGCTAATTTTTTTGTTGCCCAGGCCCAGAAATGGACTTCTGGAAGCGGCATCCACACAGAGAACCGGTTGTTCACATATTTGAATCCCACCACTGCGTTAAACCCCTTCTTTGGATCTCCATCTTCCCATTCCCTCTAACTGAGTTGCAAGTATCTGGATAGAAATACAGGTAGTCGTTGACTTAACAACAGTTCATTTAGTGATCTTTCAAAGTTACAACAGCACTGGAAAAAATGACTTCGGACCATTTTTTTACACTTACGACTGTTGCAGCAGCCCCATGGTCGCATGATCAAAATTCAGACACTTGACTAATATTTATGATGGTTGCCGTGTCCCGGGGTCACGTAATCACCTTTTGCCACCTTCTGGCAAGCAAAGTCAATGAGGAAGCCAGATTCACTTAACAACAATGTTACTAACAACTTGTAACAATTGTGGCAAGAAAGATCGTAAAATGGATGCAAAACTCACTTAAAAATTCTCTCACTTAGCAACAGAAATTTTAGGTTCAATCGCGGTTGTAAGTCAAAGACTACCTGTATCTCCCCCCCAGTGAAAGAATTCTCATCCAGGACAGATAGTTAAGCTATTATCTATTTTTGAGTGCACATTTCTCTGCAGGGGAGAGATCACCCCCCCTTCCCCTGATCTAAACTGTGACAAAATGGCTCCAGTTTCTCCACTGTAAGCAGGGTGACTAAACCTTAGTGGTTTTGGAATACGTGATGCCAGTAGAAATCCAACATTGCACTAAGAACAAGTACATGGTTTGTATTTTCATACATACAACAGTGTGGCCACATGGGAATTAAGCTAATTGAAGTAAGCTGTAGAGACCCACATCTATGTCCAAGAGGTAGGAATAATTAATCAATTCTCACAGGAACAGCAACGGTAAGGTTGCATGACTGAGCAAAACAGCACTGAAAACAAAGAAACAAATGGACACGTTCTGCTTCGTTTCATATGGTCTATCGCACTTATCATCTTTTAATGTTCTATTGATTGTATTGCAATTTCTTGGTTTGAGTGTTGGGAGTTGCCCAGAGGTATTGAGAGTCAGATGATATACAGGCTTTCAACAAATAACAAAGAACACCAATCTTGCCAGGCACGTTCAGCCTATTAGTGCCTGGGCTCTCTGAGGTCAGAGGATTTTAGTATCAAACCAGTCAGGAAATCTGTCCTATAGTCTTTGGTATTCTGAGGACCTGGAGCCAGGTACTGATTGCAGATAAGGAAACTTCTAACTGCCTCTCCTAACCTGAACCCTTCCTTTACACTGGAAGAGGCTTTATAGAGCTACAAAATAACTAGAGTCACCAGCTAGCCTGCAGTCTTGGTTGTGAGCTTTCCATGACCTAGCGCTCTCTCTCTCTCTCTCTCTCTCTCCCTCTCCCCCCTCTTTCTCTCCTCCCTTTCTCCTTCTCTCCCCCCTCCCTCTCCCTTTCTCGCCTTCCTTTACATGCACCCCTATCTTTACAAGATTCTTATTATATCAGTGGTTCTCAACTTTTCTAATGCCACAACCCCATAATACAGTTCCCCATGTTGTGGTGGCCCCCAACCACTTATACATCACCGGGTGCCAGGGGCATGGCCAAAGAAAAGGGGAAAAAAATGGCGGACAGCCTTGTTTGGCGACCCCCGTGAAATGGTCATTCGACCCAAAATGGGGTCCCGACCCACAGGTTGAGAACCACTGTATTATATGATATTAAGTATCCAGTATAAAGGAGGAGAAAGCCTTAGTGCAGCCATAAAAACACGAAAAATTTTACCTGCATTCTTTCTAGAGGGTTAGAATGACAGTTTGCTTTTTTAATGAGGTATGTGTGCTCCATATATTCTGTTATTCGCTGAAGGAAGCTCAGGGGTTCATTGAAGGCAATGGGCATGGTAATTTTTGACAGCTCCTAAATAGTAGGAAGGGGGAAAAAAAATACAAAACCGTGATTTCACAAGCAAATGTTAAACAACTGTCAATTAACAGACATCAGCTCTAGAGATCTGCCTTATGGCTTGCTGCTACTTAAAACATCAGACAAACAAAACATAATGCAAAGGGATGCTATTTCAGCTGCCACAACACATTATGCTGCCTTTTTTGTTGTTGTTGTTCAATATCAGTCTCTGAACAGTTAGCTATATTGCTGTTTGGTTATTTTTACTTCTTAATTTATCCATTCTGCTCAACGTATGCACCTATCCGCCTTACACACACTATATTTCAAATGTATTGTAGCCTGTTTCTCAACCTCAGCCAATTTTAAGATGGACTTCAATGCCCAGAAATCCTCAGCCAGCTATGCCATTCTAGAAGCTGAAATATATCCTTCTTAAAGTTGCTGAGGTTGAGAAACTCGGTAACAGATCATCAGCCAGCCATCAGGAAACAAAGGATTTGTCTTCTGTATGTATTCACCAGTATTTACATTACTCCGTCCACACTACATTTATCAAACATGCCAAGCAAACCATACTAGTATACCATAGTAACTTACCAATCCAATGCATTTTTTCAAGATACTCCAGACACTGAAATCACTCCTAGTAAACATTGGGGCAGGTAAGGATGTTCTGCGGGAAGAATAAATCAATATATTAATACTAGAGTCCCTTACCTTTCCATAAAATATTATTCTGCAAAGCCGTTTTCTGGATTTCTTCAATCATACAGGTGAACAGCTTTAAAATGAGTGGCATCACTATAAAGCCACCTGTAGCAATATTTTCGGTAATTTTTCCAAGATTCTTGCCTTGATCTTTGCAATATTATGAATGTATATGAGCATTATTCTGCCTCAATGAATGTGGCATGTGCAAACCTATGTGTATTTTTACACACAATATCTAAAATTTGAAAACATAAATATTGTTTGGTACAAACCTTATTCAGAACAATGAGATTCATCCCAACGAAAGGATGTGTAAGGTTTTTTTTTTTTTTTAAACAAAGTAAACCTTAAACAATAAGGTAAAATCACCTAGTGAACTGAACTGGCTCACTTTTTGAATAAAAACTAAATGGGAGAAAATCTAACATGACTCCTCCTACAAGGACCAAATAAAGTTAAACATTATTTTTAGATCAATGTTTTTCGACCTTGCCAAGTTTAAGATGGCTGGACTCCAGCCCCCTGAATCCCACAGTCAACATGGCTAGCTGGAGAATTCTGGGAATTGGAGGCAGTCATCTTAAAATTGCCAAAGTTGACAAACACTGTTCTAGATAATTCTGGAATGAAAAACTCCCTCATACAAGTAAGCAATTAAAATCAATACTTTATTTAACCCTAACCCTAGCCCTAAAGATGAAGGACTTACAGTCATACCTCGGTACTTGACTGCTTCAAAACTCATTGAATTCAGTGACCTGTAACTCGCTATTTCTTCCAGCTGAAATAGTGGGTCACGTGGAAAGTCTCATGATTTTCTAGGTACTGGTTGGTTTTAGAATTCATAACGTCTTCCAGAATGAATTACCAATGGGTACTGAGGTACCATTGTATTTTTCAGTTTGCTTGTGGAACATGATTGTCCAAGTGTAGCATTCCCTCTTCCCATTTTGACAATGAACTTCAAAATCAACAACTGCCGTTGGAAAAGCCTCTGAATTTCCCCCCACCCCCCGTTTCACTCACTGTAGTTTATATATCATTCTGATGATTTTTAAGGATTAAAAGAATTAAAAAGCAAAAAAAAAATAGTTCTTCGTACACAGGTACGGAATCTACATACTGCTCATTCTCAAAACAAATTCTTCTTAGTAAAAATCCCAACCGAAGCAATTGTTTTACTAGTGTGAGTACCACTTGATCAGTTCCAGAGAAAATACCTGTGTTTCTTGATTCCATTCTCTTGTACTGGCCCATCGCCATTGTGCTTTCCAGTCCTGTGACTCTGGTGATCATCCACATCAACTTTGTGAACTGCTTCTGAAAATTCTCCTGAAGAATTATCGGAATCAAAGCCTGTATAAATAAAGTGAGACCTACTGAAACATATTACAGGAACCTGGGGTTTCTCCTGTAATCAGTGCAATAATGGAAAGCATCAAGTACCTCTGTGCATATAGAATAGAATAGAATAGAATAGAATAGAATAGAATAGAATAGAATATAGAATAGAATATAGAATAGAATATAGAATAGAATAGGAATAGAATAGAATAGAATAGAATAGAATAGAATAGAATAGAATAGAATAGAATAGAATAGAATAGAATAGAATAGAATAGAATAGAATAAGAATAGAATCTGGAGGAGATCTTGGAGGTCTTCTAGTCCAGCCCCCTGCTCAAGCAGGAGAACCTAAACCATTTCAGATACATGACTGTCTAGCCTCTTCTTGAAAACCTCCAGTGATGGAGCGCCCACGATTTCTGAAGGCAAGCTGTTCCACTAGTTATTGGAACAGCTTGTGTTCAGAAATCATGGCATGTGTAAATGCCATAAACTGATTTTTTTGTGCCACTTCAATATGGAGAAAACTTACATCCCATTTTTTGTGTGTCCAATTACTCTTATTCCTTTATGCGACTGCTTACATACACCATCTAAAACAGATAAGTTATGTTCCTAGAGTAAGTAAGGACAATTTATATCGGGGTTTTCCACACTTGTCAACTTTTAAAATGTGTGGGTTTGAACTCTCGGAATTCCCCAGCCTGCACACAGCCTGTGCTATTCTCCAAATAGCGTGCACCCTTCCCTAAATAGCATGCTGTTCTTGCAAAGCTGTGCCAGGCTTCTCAGGCCTTTTAAAGACTCACCAGAAAGGCCCTGCCAGGGCAAAGCAATCTAGAGAACAGCGCATGCTATTTCAACAGTGCAAGAAGCCTTGGGAAGATGTGTAGGAAGTTAGCAAAAGTCAGTTGTGGGAGGGAGGGGGGTTTGGCAGGCCAGAGGGCCAGAAAGCAGAGTGTGGCAGGCTGGCAGGGCAGTAGAGCACAGGGTGGCAAGACCAGCAGGTTGTTAGTAGTAGTAGTAGTAGTACTAGTAGTAGTAGTAGTAGTAGTAGTAATAATAATAATAATAATAATAATAATAATAATAATAATAATGTTGGAAGGGACCTTGGAGGTCATCAACCCCTGCTCAGGCAGGTAATCCTATACCATCTCGGACAAATGGCTGTCCAGTTTCTTCTTAAAAACTTCCAGTGTTGGAGCATTCACCGCTTCTGGAGGCAGGTTGTTCCACTGGTTAATTGTGGAAGCAACCTAGAACTAAGGAGAAATTCTCTGACAGTTAGAACAATTAATCAGTGGAACAACCTGCCTCCAGAAGCGGTGAATGCTCCAACACTGGAAGTTTTTAAGAAGAGACTGGACAGCCATTTGTCCGAAATGGTATAGGGTTTCTTGCCTGAACAGGGGGTTGGACTAGATGACCTCCAAGGTCCCTTCCAACTACTACTACTACTACTACTACTACTACTACTACTACTACTATTATTATGATGATGATGATGATCATCGCACAGTCAGCCAGATGTTCAGACTGGATTTGGCATTTTGTCTACCTATCGAGTCCTTACCCAGGACCTGGGATAGGCAGATGTGGATGTTTGATGGTATTATTATTATTATTATTATTATTATTATTATTATTATTATTACTACTACCACCACCACCACCACCACCACCACCACCACCACCACCACCTCTTTCCTGGGAAACTGACTGATTCTTCCCATGGATCCTGACCTGATGTAACCTCTCCATCACAAGCCTCTCATTGATGACTCATACCTGGCCCATCACAAGAGCCTCACTTGACATACCCACACCTGAAGCCCTTATGAACAGAAGAACACTGACATTGACATCCCCTAAACTACGCTGAAGATGTTACCTAGCCTGGTAATGAAACGTTTGGAAATCAACCCATAAGCTCGGAGAACGGACCTCCACGCTTATCCTACACCCGAGCTGCAGATATTTGCCACTATTGCAAATTGACTCTTCACGATCATACCACTTTCCCCTTCAGAGACACAATCCGTCACCTTACTCTGGAGGAACCCGTGAAATAATATTCAGGAACTCAGGGATCCCAGGCATAAAAATTATAAAAATAAGAACATTTCACAACATTTCTGATCTTGCTTTACAACACTGACCACGACAGCAAAACAGTAGGTTTGGCAGCTGAGTTGTTGCTCATAAGAAGTCCCACCACAATGAGCACGAGGTTCAAAAAATGATGTGTTGTGAGTTTTTTTCCCAGTCACAATCTCTTATGTAACCTCTAGTGACCCCTACATGGAACCACAGCTGAGAAAGGCAGATCTGCAGAGCATGGGGTCAGGAAGAGCTGCCCTGAATCATGCTTTAAAAATCATCAAAAACACATAAAATTATTTGTGTTATGAAAGGCTTTCACTTTCTTCCCTATCTGCAGTAAGAGGTTCAGAGCACATTAGGCATATGGGTAAATATATACAATCAGCTGGTACTGTGTGTTTTCCTAAGAACTATTAGATCTTATCAGTGCAGCCTATGAACAAAAGTACATTTCAAGGCATAACCAGGAGTCTTCTAAGACTTAATGCAACAGGCAAAGATTTTAAAGAAATAATAAAATTCTCTTTTAGGGAAGCCTTCTCGTTGCGTCGAACCTTTTCATGGTAGATTCTAGCAGTCCAATTATGCCCCTATTCAGTTCTGATCCATGACCAAATATGAATATCACCCAGGTTTATCACATATATAGATCTCCTGACACAACCTACGCACAAAACTAGTGAGTATCTTGGGTTTAGATAATTTCTGATGCAATACAGGAGAAATATTAGCACATTTACTGTATAATAGCTGGATTTAATAAGGCTATGATCAGCTCCTACTATAGAAATATCACAACTGGTGTTCATGACATGTATGACCACACACATTTTCCTCTACAATAGGCTCAAACCAGAAAATCAGTTTCCGCTTCAGACTGCTTAGTTTTCAATAGTGAATAATATCAGTTTTTCACAATTTGAAGTTCTCCAGATTTATTGAATTATACTATGCAGTGTAAATCAGATGGGGGCATGTACAAATTCTTGTAAAATGTGTGATACACATGTAATTGTCTTTATTTTAAATAAAGACCATTACATGTGTGTATCACACATTTTACAAGTTTAAATATTTCTAATGTTAAAAAACAAAGCAGGCTATATAATATAGGGGTTTTCAAACTTGGCCCTTTTACGACTTGTGGACTTCAACTCCCAGAATTCCTCAGCCAGGCATGCTGGCTGAGGAAGTCTGGGAGTTGAAATCCACAAGTCGTAAAAGGGCCAAGTTTGAAGACTCCCTGCTATAATAAAATAGCAATAGCACTCTTTATACTGCTCCATAGTGCTTTATAGCACTCTCTAAGCAGTTTATAATGTTAGCCTATTGCCCCCAACAATCTGGGTCCTCATTTTACCAACCTCAAAAGAATGGAAGGTGGAGTCAACTCTGAACTGGTGAGAATCAAACTGCTGGCTGTGGGCAGAGTCAGGCTGCAATACTGCATTCTGACCACTGCACCATGACAGCCAGAACAAAACCTGCTAGAAATATCTGAACTAGAAAATTTTGGTCTATTGCAGTGGTTCTCAACCTGTGGGTCGGGACCCCATTTGGGGTCGAATGACCATTTCACGGGGGTCGCCAAACAAGGCTGTCCGCCATTTTTCCCCCTTTTCTTTGGCCACGTCCCTGGCACCCGGTGATGTATAAGTGGTTGGGGAGTCACCACAACATGGGGAACTGTGTTATGGGGTTGCGGCATTAGAAAGGTTGAGAACCACTGGTCTATTGTCTCTTGAAGACTCATGAGCTACCTGGCCTCATTTGTGAGACAGGGAGAGCAAGAAACAGAGTAATCTTCTGTTGAAACAAAATATGAACAAATCTCCGTGGTGCAATTCAACTACATTAGGATATATCCAGCATGTTTTCCTCATACCTGATGTCTATTCATCAATGGCCAACTGATCAATCAATTAATCAAACTGTAGGAAGAAAAGAATCAAGGTTTTTTTTGACTGAAGCACCAGCTCTGAAAAAGAGTTACAGGTTGCAAAATCCTGTTTTACTATTATTCCCCTTGGTAGTTTAAAGGATGATGTCACTCATTAATTTGTGCTCGCCACATCAGAGACATTCCTGCAACTGTAATTATCTGATGATAATCAGATCCCAAGGTATCATGATACCTAATTTTTGTACTGTAATGATAATGGCATTCATGGGAGGCAGTACAGGGGTTAAAAGCGCTGCTTCTAACCCAGTGTTTCTCAACCTTGACAATTTTAAGGCATGTGGACTTCAACTCCCAGAATTCCACAGCCAGCTGGCTGTGGAATTCTGGGAGTTGAAGTCCACATGCCTTAAAATTGTCAAGGTTGAGAAACACTGTTCTAACCTATGTATGGAACACATGGAAGGCATTTGAGAATGTTGCTATTATGCCATACACCATATGGGTACACAATTCAAACAAAACATTATTCAAAAGTTTAAGAATTATACAAATAGTTTATGTCTTTGGGGGTATGGAAATGCAACCTGGTGCTGTACTGGTATGTAGGAAAAACATCTCTCCAGCACATTGACAGATGAGAATGCTTGTAGCTCAGGGTTGAACTATGGCAGTGATGGCGAACCTATGGCACACGTGCCAGAGGCGACACTCGGAGCCCTCTCTGTGGAGACATGTGCCATTGCCCCAGCCCCACCTCCCCCCACAGCCCCCTCCTCACCAGCAGCCCCCCTGGAGGAGAGTCGCCCCTGAGTGTGGCCCACGCGGAGCAGCGCAATCAAGGACATGGCAGCCAGGCAGTGTAGACAAGACTCTGCCCTAACACCCCATCGCGCACAGTTGATGCTGCGGAGTGCGGGCAGAGGGCATGGCCGCCATGGCACTGCTGGGCTGCCTGGGCGATCTGTGGTGGGTCCTGGTGGCGGTGAGTGGCCCTGAGGGT